CAGCCTGGAGAAAAGGAGGCTCAGGGGGGACCTTCTGGCTCTGCAACTCCCTGACAGGAGGGGGGAGCTGGGGGGGTGTCTTTTTTCCAGTTAACAAGGGACAGGATGAGAGGAAACGGCCTCAAGTTGTACCAGGGGAGGTTTAGGTTGGACATCAGGAAAAATTTCTTAACCAAAAGGCTTGTCAAGCACTGGCACAGCAGCCTTGGCCAGTCCCCATCCCTGGAGGGATTTAGAAACCTTACAGGTGAAGATGTGGCACTTGGGGACATGGCTTAGTGGTGGCTTGGCAGTGCTGGGTCAGGGGTTGGACTCGATGATCCTAGAGCCCTCCATCCTAAAGGATTCTGTGATTCTATGAATTTAAAAGTCTCTTCTACCCAGTCACATGGAAAGAGGGAAGAAAACCACTCTGACTTCACGCTGGTGTCTTGAGATTTGCTCATTTGCCCATTTTCAGACGAGGGTGTTTTTTCCCCCCTTTTACACTCATGTTTGAGACTTTGAGGCCTCTCAGACAGACTCAGCTTGTCAGAGAGAAGGCTCCAGGGGTTTGTGTGCCCTCAGGAGTAGCAGGGAGGGCAGATGGCAGCCAGCTTTGCTGTCACCTGGAATGACTCCAGCCTTGGCACCACAGAACCTCTTCCTTCTCTTTTGGGAGACTGAAAAGCCTCCCAAAACGATGCCACGGAATCTCTGTGGCACTGCAGTGCCACCAAGATCCAGGTATTTCCAGGAGGGGGGTTGGAGGATGGGTTTTTTGAGAGCCTGAGGTGACAGTCTTTGGAATGGTGTGGTGCTAGGAGAGGGAATGACCCAACCCTTGCCCCTCTGCTCTTCAGGGTCCTCTTCTTTCCAGAAGAGCACAACACTGCCAGCAGACACATCCCCCCCTCTGTCCAAGTGCAGCTCCAGGTGAAGCCCTGGTGGGGCTGCAGGGCAGTGCTGGCACAGCCCAACAGGGCTCTTGGCTTTGTTTTGGGGTTCTCTCAGTGCTGCCAAACGTGGCTTTGCACACCCTGTTTCAGGAGTGATTCACTGCAGGGCTTAGGAGGGCTCTGCTTTTCCCTTCAGCACCTCCTGACACGGCCAAGGCTCCAGGGCTGATCCCACAGTGTGGGCTGCAGGACAGGGGGGGATCCTGCCCCTCTGCCCCCTCAGGTGAGACCCCCCTGCAGAGCTGCCCCAGCCCTGGGGAACAGCAGAGCAAGGACATGGAGCTGCTGGAGAGAGTCCAGAGGAGGCACCAACATGATCAGAGGGCTGGAGCAGCTCTGCTGGGAGGAAAGGCTGGGAGAGTTGGGATTGTGCAGCCTGGAGAAGAAAAGGCTCCAGGGAGACCTGACAGCCCCTTCCAGGGCCTAAAGGGTCTCCAGGAGAGCTGGAGAGGGACTTGGGACAAGGGTCTGGAGTGACAGGATAAGGGGGAATGGCTTCCCACTGCCAGAGGGCAGAGTCAGATGGGATGTTGGGAAGGAATTGTTCCCTGTGAGGGTGGGGAGGCCCTGGCCCAGGTTGCCCAGAGAAGCTGGGGCTGCCCTTGGATCCCTGGAAGTGTCCAAGGCCAGGTTGGACGGGGCTTGGAGCAACCTGGGCTAGTGGAAGGTGTCCCTGCCCGTGGCAGGGGGTGGAATGAGAGGAGCTTTAAGGTCCCTTCCAACCCAAACCATTCTGGGATTCTGTGGGGAGATCTCAGAGCTGGACTGGCTCCTCACCCTCTCCAGGATGCAGCAGGAAGGAAAAAGACCACGAGCAGCCTCTGTGAAGCCAAGAGAAGAGTTAAATGAGAGCAGAATAATTACAACTAGGTCGGGGTGAATTATTCATAGCCAATAATTTATTCACCAAACTCAGCCTCATTTCCCACAGCAGCTCTCTCACTGTCCCGAATTTATTCCCGTCTGGGGATCATTCCCAGGGCAGTTCTTGTCCCAGAGGCTGCTCAGGAGCTGCTGATGGGGTGCTCTTAATAATTCAAATCCATCGGGGTGCCAGCCACTTTTCCAGACATTCCTAGCTCAGTGTTCTCCTCTTCCTGCTGGTGTTGGAGAAATATGTCAGTGAATAGAATTTAGGGTGCAGTTACTTCTCTTCAGTGCTGCTTTCTGTGTCAGCAGGAGACTTTTTATCCCAGCTTTTGACACCGGGATGAATTTCCCCTGCATTTCCTACTCGGACATTGCCCGGGAAGTTTCTGAGCAGAAGATCCAAAAAAAAAAA